GCGCTATTTCCTAGTGAAAATGACCAAAACTGTGAAATTAATTATAAATTGAACTTTGACCTGGAATATCTTTTGAACTAGTAGGTTTAGCAAAAAATCATAAGAGACCTTTTTTGTAGAGCGGTAAATTTTCTATAAGAATATATATTTTAAATTATTGTTAATTAATATGTAAACAAGATAAAAAATTACAAAGAGCAAAACCTACTTTTTGCATGTTATTTCCATTTAAAACTTTGGCTGCCGGGGGGGCCAGGTTAATATTAAAATTAAGAGCTGTAACTTGGCAGGATTTTTTTTTTATACATTTAGAACCGATTTAGGACTATCGTGAAAAAAAATTCGAAAAAAGCCAAAATAAGGACCACCCTAATATATATATATATATATATTGTGGACTTGGGTTTCTGTACACGTGTCCCAGCCGTTGTTCATATTTTTTTCTATTTTATGATTCATTAGTCTTCGTAACTCTCCTTCCCCTGTTCTAACTGGTCCGTATATTTTTCTCATAATTTTCCTCTAAAAACATTTTATTTTTCCTCCTCTTTGCTTGTCATAGTCATTGCCTCTGCCGCATATATAACTACCGGCCTTGTATATTTTTATCTTTGTTTTTTTACTTATATTCTTATCTTTCATGTACTGGCTGTATGTAAAGTATGATCGATTTCTCATCTGTATTCTTTGATTAATTTCCTCTGTTCGGTCATTTTTGTCATTTATTATTACTCCCAGATATTTAAAACTGGTCACCACTTCATACTTATGTTTCCTATTTCGGCTATTTGTTGTTTAGTTCTGTTATCTTTATTGCATACCATCAGTTTTGTTTTTTCTTGGTTAATCGTTAGCCCTCTCTTCTTTGCTTCGTTTGCAATTTCTATCGTGATCTTATAATCCCTCGCTATTATTGCTATGTCATCCGCGTATGCAATTATTTGTACGACCTCATGACTCCTTCTAGTGCTAAAATAAATAACGTTGAAGAAGTGAATCGCCCTTCTTCTGTCAGTACCTTTGCTTTCGATCTTTTCATAGTCATATGCACCAGGTTTCTTATTTTTCTCGGTATATTTAGTTTTTTTAAATCTTCTTTTAAAGTTTTGATCATGATATGTATTGGGTCTACAGTTGATTTTCCTTTTATAAATCTGTATTGATAATCTCCTACTTCCTTTTGTACACACTTTTTTATTCTGTTGCAACATGTTAATGATTGTTGTCAACATGTTAATGATTGTTGTCAACACTTTGTATGTTGTGTTAAATAGTGTTATGCCTCTGTAATTATTGCATTGTCTTGCATCTCCCTTTTTAAATATTGGAACAATAAGTCCTAACTTCCATTTTTCTGGCATTCGTTCTTTATTCCATATGTTCATTATTAGTTTATGTAGGTGCTCTATTAAGTCTATTCCTCCCATTTTAATAAATTCTCCACATATTTCATCTGGTCCTGTTGCTTTTCTGTTTTTTAACATATTGACTGCTTTCTTTACTTCATCATAGGTTGGGGCTTCTTCTGTTTCTTCGTTTGTTTCGATGATTTCTTTTATATTAAAGGGTGTATATGTGATATATCAATAAGAGCGCAAGATTTCAAAGTTTAGTAAAACATGGTTTTAAGTATTAAAGCATTGAAATATTTATTGATTTATAAAGTACACATTTGGAAATTATGTATAAAATAACACATCTGGTAAATGGCCACCACGGCTTAACTGGCACAAGCGTATTCTTTTGTCAAAATTTGCAATAATCGTCTTTCAAACGATCGTCTTTCAAACGATCGACTTTCAAACGATTCAATCGGTTGCGTATACGCAACCTATAGGTTAGGCGGTCGGCTGTACAGACGAAATATATATTTGAAATTCTTCTCTATTATAATAAAGAATTTCAAATATACTTTGGAATATTTGGAATTGCCTATTATTCGAAGTAGGTAGATATCGCCTTTAGAATTATTTTTTTAATTAATTTAATTAATAATTATGACAAAATAAAAATATTTTCTTATCGGTTAAGTTATAACTTAAAATTTTAATTAAAACGATCGTCTTTTTTCGACTATTATTTTAGACGATCGCCTTTTGTATCGTTTATCACTTTAAACGATCGTCTTTAGGGTCGGCTATTATTTTAGACGATTAAAGACGATCGTTTAAATAATTAAACAATTTCAAACGATTCAATCGGTTGCGTATACGCAACCTATAGGTTAGGCGGTCGGCTGTACAGACGAAATATATATTTGAAATTCTTCTCTATTATAATAAAGAATTTCAAATATACTTTGGAATATTTGGAATTGCCTATTATTCGAAGTAGGTAGATATCGCCTTTAGAATTATTTTTTTAATTAATTTAATTAATAATTATGACAAAATAAAAATATTTTCTTATCGGTTAAGTTATAACTTAAAATTTTAATTAAAACGATCGTCTTTTTTCGACTATTATTTTAGACGATCGCCTTTTGTATCGTTTATCACTTTAAACGATCGTCTTTAGGGTCGGCTATTATTTTAGACGATTAAAGACGATCGTTTAAATAATTAAACAATTTCGTTTAAAAAATTAAGCGATATCGTTTAAAAATAGACGATCTTCTTCAGACGATCGTCTTTTTTTAAACGATTTTTCCCATGGGATGTAACTGTTATGTTACACATCACAATAGTTACATAACATTTTGGTTAATGTTACGTTACAATGTTGACCGGGTAGTATTTTATGATACATAAATGGCAAATTTTAAAACAATAACACAAAACCTATTATTATTTTAAAAATTAACTTATAATATTTCACAATAAGGTTATTCAAACCAGTATGTAAAATTCAGAAAAACAACTTACCTCACTTTAAAATTATTTATCAATTATAAGAATTCTATAATCTTATAAAACTTTATAATAACTGGGAATGCATTCAGTTATTATAAATACCTACGTAAAATAAATCATTTAATATTTATATATTTATATTATCACGTGCGGTTCTTGCGTAAAAATTTCGCAATGGCTTTGGGGTATTAACCCAATGAACAAATCGTCAGATTAGGGTTTTACTTCAGAATCTTTTTTACTATAGTAATATTATGTCTCAAAAATCCCAAGCAAAATCGTGTCGGCGTTGCCAAATATCGAAGGTCACAAAAAACAGTTTTTCTTGATTATCTCGTAAACGAAAAAAACGTAAATTTTAAAGATCTCGATAATTTTGTAAACTATTGGTTAACGTAAATTTTTTGTATTATACAATATCCCGAAAACTATTATTTGTACATGAGGAACAAATTTATATTAACCAAAATGCACGTAAAACCAATAAAAAACTGTTTTTCGTGACCTTTGACCTTCTATATTTGGCAACTTGGAATATTTGAGACTAGTGCATAAAGATTACAAAACAAATCTTAGCTAGGATTTTTTTCGTCTACAAAGCAGGGGAAGGTATTTTTTATAATGCTGCAGATGGTTATCCCAGAACTACAAAACCTAATTAATATCTCCAGAAAATTTACATAAATTTTACCACTTAAAAACAATGTTTGGATTGGTCGAAATATTATTATAAAGATAAATAATTGTTGCAAAATTTAAATAAAACTTGTTCAAAAAGTAATGAGTGGAATGGTCGGGTATAATTATAAATTATAATTATTATATTTTGTTTATTTTTTTAGTAGATATTACTATTAATTTAACTTAATTTAATAATGAAAATTATTTTACTTAACTTAAATTAATTAACAAGCTCATATTCAAAAGTTTTTAAATATCTTCTGAAATTAAAAATTAAGAATACCTTCGATAGGAAGAAATATAAACTGAAAACCTAAAATATAGCACCGTTTTTTAAATCACTATTGTAGTATAATAATAAAGTATAATAGTATAGTACATACAATTAAATTAATGCAAAAGTCTTAAATTCTTGCAATATCTGCCTATGTCCACCCACGTGGGTACCTGTATTGACCCTTACTAGTATTATTAAATAGTTATTTATGTCATTAGGTTAAGAAGTAAGTATTTTTGTGCTAAGCTCAAAGTTTGAAGGCCGACGCATAGCGGAGGCCTACAATTGAGCGAAGCACAAAAAGACACTTCTTGGCCGAATGGCATACAACATTTTATCTTCAAAGCACTTTATATAGGTCAATTTAATTCAACATGAAAGCGGCCTAACCTCACTTTTTTAGAATCTCATTTATTTATTAGCTAAAGATTACATTAAATGTACAATAATTATTATTCCTTTTAGAAGCAGTAATAGTTTGACAATACCTAGCTACATGATTTAAGTAGAAATGAAATTTGTAAAAAAATGGTTTACTTACCCTCTTGCTATTACATTGAATTCAATTAATTGTTTAATAAATAGGTATCTAATTTCAATTTGTTTGCATTTTTATTAAAAAAATAGGTAGTTTGGAATGTTTACGCTGTGTTTAACATTTAATTTCACTGAAAACTTAAAGCAAATTAAAACTTAAAGATAATTTAAATCGTAGAAAAAGAAAACACAACTGTGAAATCCACAGAAACGTCAAATTGCAATGTCCTAACCTCTCTTTTTGTTTTATTATTCATATTTAATTTTACAATAATTTAATGAAAAATAATAAACATTAACAGTAAAATAAACAAATTAGTGCTTATTATAAATAAATTAAACCAGTTTAGTACGTTAATTTCTTACAAAAGGATTAATTTGTCAAAACAATACCCCTAGCGAGAAAAAATCGAACTATTTACTTGCCTCATAAATTTTTTTATCGGCCTAGGCCATAACAAGATATTTCTTTATCGAATGTTGACAACAATAAAGTTTAAATTATAGACCGCGTGGAGATAAATAATATTATTGCATCAAGGAATTCAATCGCTAAATTCTTATTAAATTTTTATCATGCACCCACTCTTCGATCTAAGCGGGCGGCATCGCGTTCATAAAACTGGTTGTGGTATCTCTTTAAATGCTAACTCCACGAACACATCTTCGCGACGATGGTCAGTTTGCGAGGCAAAGACAAACAACAAGACCATGTGAGTGCCAGCCAGTGAGTGCGAGTAAACAAAAATTAAACAAAAAATGACGTCGACAGCGGACTTAGTTACCGAATCGGTGGGCGATTTGACGGCCAAAAATGAAAAAACATTCAAGGAAATGAGTTTTGGGGAAAAATTGGGGTACATTAAAGAAGTAATAACGGTGGAACCGTTAATAGCCGCGTATGTGATGTCTTCATTGCTTTGCGGGCCGGCCTTGTGGAATTTGGAGTTTGAAAAGTCCTGCAGGGTAAATTTGGCCTACAACGATACCGTTTGTGATGAAATTTTGACTGGATCGCAGAACGATTGGCCGGAACAAAACATACAAATACAGACGTTAATAGCGAATATGCACTCATGGCAGTCCCCTTTGCAAACCGTAATGCCTTTAATTCTGATATTATTTTTGGGATCATTTAGTGACAGATATAAATGGAGGAAGCCTTTTCTCATTGTCCCTTTGATAGGAGAGTTATTTGCAGTGGTTGGTTGCATTTTGTGTGTGGTTTTTATGAAATCGTGGCCTTTGGAGGCCCAGGGCATATCGCAAACTGTCATCCCCTCGTTTTTTGGGGGTCAAACTATGGTGGTGATGGCCTCGTTTGCCTATATAGCCGATGTCAGTACTCTTGAAATGAGAACTTTGCGTATAGGCATAGTGCAAATCGTCCTTAACGCTTGCACTCCTTTTGCTCACTCCTTCAGCGGCAAGTTATTTGAAATAATTGGATATTATGGGATTTTGTTGATTGCGGCCGGATTTTACACCTTTGGCATCCTCTACGGATATTTCTGTATAAAAGAACCAAGGACGCCAGTTAAGAGTAAAAATGGGATTTTAAGGGATATTTTTGATCCCACCCACGCCATTGACACATTAAATTTATTAGTGAAAAAGGAAAAGGGGAACAACAGAGTCTATATTCTTTTGATGATGATTATTATGTTTGTTTTCAGTGGAGTAAATGTAGGTGAGTAATAATAGCTTAAAATCGTAAACAAATTAAAGATGAATTATGTTAATTGATAGGTATTAATTATGTATATTGGATTATAAATAACTTTTTCTCTTAGGCTATAAAGTTATTGTATATACAAAAAAGGTCGAGGTCAGGACATTTATTATAATAATGATTGCAATTCTTTTGGAGGAATTAATAATCACGCATATATAAAAAAAAATATATTTAATTTTGTTATAAAAAAGTTATAACATTATTGGTAGACCTGTATGTGGCATTAGTTATTTAAATGTTGAACTATATTTTTTTTTTACATTTAATGTATTAATCTTTTTAACGTCAAGCGTTCTAATGAAAAGGAAATTTTTACGACCATGAATTGCTCTTTTAATTGAAAGTGTCTATTTAATACATATACATACACAAACTTTTTGTGCATTTTTTTTAAATCTTTAATAGGCTTAAGTGAAACTAATTTAAGTCGCATACATTCATTAAAATTTAACTCAATTATTTTAATTTCTATGCAGTGGCGAAACTTTCATACAGCAAGAGGAAGCGGGGTCTGCCAAATATACTATATACTATATGGGGCATTCCATGCCAAATCACCGACCCTTTTTGATTTTGCTAAATTTTTGATATCTTTTAGTACGTATTAAAAGAAACTTGCACACCAATTTTTAGCATTTTATTCCAAACTGTTATTGAGATATGGATTTTTTATATTTTGAGGTAACAAATTTTCAATTAATGATAGACTAGTGATAAATATCGATAATCGTCTTTAATCGGAGTTTCAGAAAAAAAATTAACAAAATAATTGTGATCACATCTTCTGCTTTGGCTCAAAAGTTGCGTAATCTAAAGTAGAATTTTGGGAAATTTTTTCAAAAAAATTGAAGGGGTCGGACTTTTTGCAAATGTTGATTTTGAGTTTTAAACGCAAATAACTACATGATAATCACTTAAAATAATTTTTGTTTATTTTTTTTCTGAAACTCCATTTAGGGCCGGTTTATCAATCTCTAGTTAAGTTCCAGTTAGTCTATCTGACGGTTAAATTTCATATCAATCGTTGTGAGAACAATGGTATCCATGGAAATTATCTACCAGATAACTAACTGCAACTTTAACTGGACATTGATAAACCGGCCCTTAAAGACGAAAAAAATGATACCCCATTTTTTACGATTATCGATATTTATCACTAGTCTATCATTAATTGAAAATTTTTCACCTCAAAATTTAAAAAATCCATATCTCAATAACGGAGTTGGAGGCCCCCGTCGATCCGGGGCCTTAAGCACTTGCTTATTATGCTAATAGGTAAATTTGACACAGCAAATAGAAAATAATAAAATGACAAGAAACATTCTGCTTCTGTATAAAACTAGAGAATATAGAAATGTTTATTTCAACATGAGTCAAACCAAATCAAAATAAAAGTACATAAGAGCTAAAACTCCCTTATTGCCTCAAAGTAAAAAAAATAAAAGATTTTTAATAAAGAAGACTTTGCAAAAGCCTAAAGAAGCTGTAGTAGATGCAGCGTCAAATATGAACGCGGATACTCCTGCATCTAGCAGAGCCAACGTTATGGTCTAAAAAATAAAATGAAGCTGTTTGGAAGTAAAGTTTTTTAGAATGGAAAGGTATAAATGCTTATAATAAAGGATAAAATAATGGGATAGAAGAATGGAAGAATTAATTCAAATTAATATACTTAGCGGTACCAATTCTGAAGAACTGTTTTGCTAGCTATAACATAGTGTAAAATAAATAAATAAATAAATAAATAAAATAATGTGACTTGACTCAAGACTTAACTCAATACTCTTGCAAAAAATCGGCATATACATACATGCAATTTCTGTAAATAGAGAGCAGGTTTACTTTTGGGTCCTCATTTCCAGACGCGACGCGGCGAATAATAAGGCAGACTTTTTTTATTTTTCAAAAAATGTGTCCCTTCTGTTATAAATAAAATAAATTTTTCAAAAATTTGTTTTTATTATTTATTATAATTAATTAAAGCTATAATAACATAAACTTGTGTTCATTAATACTTAATTATAATTAATTAAAGCTAAAATAACATAAACTTAAATAATTTCGGAAAATAACCAAAATATGAGCAAAACTGCTTAGGGGGTCCTCATTAACCAACTCTCCCCTACACCTTTTGATTCAATTTTATTTTTAATTTGAAATTTGCCACAGTCCGGTATACAAGGTGTCCCAGAATATGTAGGCAATTTTCCGGATTTAGATGGAACACATGAAAATAATATGACAAGTTCCTTTTTCCTACGGCCCCACCTACCGAGATACTGGCCCATAACGGACGCCCCTGGAATGAAGAAAAAAGATCGAAAATTTTAAAATACTATATTTTTTAACTGATACTGACATCATTATTTAAACCTGTGAATGTCAAAAAAAGATAAAAGATAAATTCAAAAAAACCCTATTGTACAAAAAAATTTTTTTTTCGTAAACAGTACATTTTAGACTTTTTTTTGTTTAAGGTTTAGCTGACTAAAAATATTATTGTTGTTCCTTTATAATACAGGGTGTTTAAAAAAATAGCATTACTCTGCTAGAGCTAGTCCGTCTCTGACAAACTAAATAAGCCGAATGTGATTAAAAGTGACCATTTTAAGGAAACTTTCCTAGTAAACAATATATAAAAAAATTATTAGGAAGTAGGAAAAAATATATAGGAACTTGTCATATTATTTTTATGTGTTCTATTTGAATCCGGGAGATTGCCCACAAATTCTGGGACACCCTGTATAATAAGATTTTCTTTAAAAGTACTTTTTTTAATACAACCTATATAGGTTGTATTAAAACTGTTGCAAGTACTTTTAAATATCGACCTGTATTATACGTATTATTACATATATAATATACGTTTCGGTACAATCTCATGTACCATCTTCAGGTCTTAAACGTCGTCAGACATACGGTTCTTTTAAGAACCAAAAACCGACAACACGGAGCAGATCCCGAAAAAGCATCTATATATATATATTTATCCAGTCTGAATTGAATCAACAAATGGACCAAATTGGTGGTTTGTCAGGTGAGGCAGTTGCTCCCTTTACAAAATAAAAGATAAGTTAATAATTCTAATGAAAAATTTATTATTTGGAATACCTACATAGATTATAAAATATTCAATAAATTGCAGTGATTTTATACGACGCTCTTAAATTAGGACGAAACCTTGTACCTGCCCCATCAAAACAAAATAGGTACCTATTAAAAATCTTGAAACTAAATATTATAGGTATACCTACTCGTATAATTGTTGTAAAATCTTTTCGGCAACTGACACCGAAAAGTAAGATTTTCATTAGACGACGATTGAAAATATTAAAAACAATTTTGGAACAAATTTTAAAAGGTTATTTACGCGAAGACGCCCCATTTTGATCCTTACTGGTATAATACCTAGAAAAAAGTATAAAAAAAGGATCCAGGTAAAAATAGTTTAACAGCCTGCCGATAGGTTTTTTTTAAAAGCCCATTTTTTGTTTTTACATAATGATTTACAGGTTTTTAAAGGTACGGTTCCTTTAAAACGGCGGACGCATGCGGCTGACGCTCTGCGTCTGACGCAACTTCCTGCCACAATGAAAATTTAATGTAATGGGTTCCTTTCGTGCGTCTGCCGCTATGCGTTCCGAGCGTCTGACGCAGAGCAGGACCAGTGGTTGCGTCAGTACATCTTCGAAAGCAGTCTAGACGCAGCCGCAGCAGAAGGTCCAGCGTTTTGTACGTTATAGGATAGGGATATTTATTTGTCGATTTTTTTCTTATATCTTCTTTTATTATACCTAAAATATTATTAAATTGAGCAATGTTGAGTCTAAAGAATTCTCGAAATTTTTTCTCATATTTTAATAAATGTTTATTTATCAAGGTGTTAAAAAATCCCTCTTCAGTTCTTCTCTTAAACATTGGATAGCAATTTTTTTTTCGTCATCGTTCAGTTGCCTCCTCTTCTTCGATTTCTTCCAATAATAGTTACAATAATTATTGTACCCATTATTGGAAGATAACGATATCTTAAGATATCGTTTTTATTATCCATTACAAATTTTAATTTTATCATAAAAGAACCCCTTGAAAAGTGTCCGCATCCACTTTCTACCAAAGATCGCATACGACTGACGTACGAGAGAAAATATATAAAATAAATAAACATGCGGACGCATACGGCCAACGCATGCGTCCGCCGTTTCAAAGGAACCGTACCTTAAGGCCGCACACAGAAATATTCATTTGCGAGACTTCCGCACAAGACGAGACCTATAAAAGTCTCGTATCGTCTGGTCCGCATATCGAAAACGAGACTCTCGTGGGCACCACTACTTGTTACCTGTACCTTTAACCCTTGTGCCGTAAACAACAAAGTCAAATTAGTTTATCAATATTTGACAGTAAAATTTATTAAATACTCTATATCTTTAAAACCATGCATTTTATTGCAAATGAGCTTTTTACAGGAAAATGAATCTTGCTTAACTTTAACCATTTTCGAGTGAAATACAAAAATACTGTTTTTTTTAATTAAAAATGAGCTATGAGACTGCGCACCACTCAATGTGTCGCGACCAAAAAGTTCGTCCTTTTTTAAAACGAAAAAACTTTTTTGTTTATTGAACGATTTTATTTTGGTCTGTGATGTCTGCTAGCTTCATCCTCTGGCAGTTCATGCTATAGATATGACGCGCAAGGTTGTTCAAGTAAATTTCCTACAGGGTGATATGTAAAACGGTGAAAAATTTCATCATTCAACTTCATCCAAGCCCTGTTTGTAAAAAAGTTTCAGATAAAACCAAAATCATCATGAATCAAAATTCTAAAACATTTTCCGGCTGTTACATGTCTCAATAAAATCTGATTGCTGGTTTTAAATGTGTTTTGCATCTTTAGTACCTTATTATCATGTCGCTAAATGATCAAATAGAGGATCAAATGATGAAAATTAGTTC